GACAACGACAACGTCGATACGCACCGACTAAACACAATCCACGGCTATTTGTACGAGCTAGTGGCTTCTGGGTCCTTCGTAATTCGGAGGATGATTTCCCGAATATCCCGATCCACATTGCCCATTGTTGGTGTTCGTCGCGAGAACCCACTGCCCGCGCTTACTTTATCGGTCTTAGCCATTCGCCAGGATCGCGATGCCAGGAGCTCGGAAAATGGCGTTGCATAAAGTAGTAGTGAATAGCAATTAACATAACGATTCGCACTAGCGATTTTAATGCTGACGATCGATTTACATTGCGCGATGAACGAGATTCGATGCTATTGGAAAATTTATAAAAATATTAAAATTAAGTAAGTAACTAACTGGAATTAAGTAAGCAGGATCTCGCGAACACTGCGTTAATAGAGTTAGGATGTGTTCTTATTATTCCTACACGTACTGCCAAGACGAATTGAATGAATAGAAAGAGTGAGCTTTATTTGGATAAGGTAACGAAACGAATAGATATGTTGCTCATTGTACATAATGATAAACGCTTTATTTTCTCAACATTTCAAAACTTCACTTTGAAGCTTGACATTTCGTGGACTTTTGTCGAGAGAGTGAGAGAGAGAGAGAAAGAGGGGGGGGCGGTGTGCGAGAGTGAGAGGCGAGATAAAGGAAGATGACTTGAAAAATCTATAGATATATGTGTTATTTGCTTTTATCTGCTAGTTTCAATACCTCACATCTAACCTCGCAGCCTTAGGCTGTTTTAATTTTGTTTTTAGTTTGGCTTACAAACTCCTTCCTCGAACTCTTTGATTTCTTTCTTCACACGGACTTTTCCCGACTCGTAAAAAATGTGTTCGAGCAGTTAAGGAAATTACAGCCAAGGTACATGCAAAAATTAAATTTTAGCACCGCTAGAAATCTAGTCATCATGCTCATCTCGTTCGCTCTCGACACCAAAAAACCGTATGAATATTCGGAATTCAATGAGATTCCTTCTTTTTATACTCCCGTATTCATCCAAGATGGGATATTGTTACACGCAGAGTTGCCATAATATAATGCACATTCCAAAAAAGGAATGTTGCGGCCGAATTAAAGATCCTCGATATTTATAGCTGTGGCAATGCGAGATCCTGAAAGCCCTTCGGAGCAAAACATTACAGTTGAGCCTTGACGGGGAACATCGGACACCATATTTTACAAGCTGCTGCTACGAGTTTACAATGACGTGAACTGGCATCGCTCTCCTTCTCTACTACTCGTTCCTCGCAGCTACGTAAGAGATGTACATGGCTGACGCCGTTGCCATTTATAGCACGTAAAGGGCAAGTGCGGCCACGAATTCTGCTGGTTATGCGAGCGTCGGCCTAATGCGCACCGCCACACACTTCTCCGAAATTTGATTGAAGGCGCCGCTCCCAGCGCCTAAGGATGTTCTTTATGCGTAATTTATATTTGGCCAGTTTCTCGGATTTCGCGTAACGGAAGCTCTTCGCGAGCCTACGAACGCCTTGCGCCAGAGGAAATAATACGGTGAATTCGGAGCTCTTTTAGTTTGTCGAGTGATCTACTGATGCCCCCCCCCCCTCGCTCTCTCACTCTCTCTCTCTTTCTCTCTCTCACTCTCTCTCTATCCCATCCCCCTCCCACCATCCGACCATCGATTCTCATCCCGACTCCGTCCCGCCGCTCATTCTGTAAATCGGCTACTATTTCCGGATGAGGTGATTATTATTTAGTCGTCGCACAAGATTTTCTTACTTTTGCATAGTACAATTATTTCAATTATTTTAAATGACAATTTGTATTCGTATCTACGGAGGATCAACTTATTATTACAAAATTTTTTTATATTTATGTAGCTGAAAACTAGTGGAAACTATTAATACAAGCAATTTTGTATATTTTAATTACTATCAAGTCATGGTATAATATGTATATAAGCGACTATAAAAAGCTTTTTACGATTTTTACCAACATTTATGACATAAAATAAAGGCAAGAGAAAGAAATAAAAAAACAAAAAACAAAAAAAAAACATAAGAAATTCGATTTCATATCTTTTTTTCTGAAAAATTTATAAATGTACTTACTTTCGTTTATGCTATGTGTAAAGAAATTACGTAAACAATGATCTCATTTTATATTGCTATAAATCTTTGCAAAAGATCATAAAACGACTTATAAGATGACATTTAGTGTATACTTATTATTATATGTATATGAAGAAAATTTAAACTAAATATTTATGATTAATTCAAAATGTACGTATTTTTATGTATTAATGTCATAATGCATACGTCAAACTTATTATACAATTTTGTATAATACAACTTAATTAACAACATAATCAACAATTTAATTTAACAAAAGCAAATTAATTAAAATAATTATATTCATTGCACTGTGCCAGTGATAATGATTATAGTAAATTAATAATACCAAATTTTTCCACTGTTCTATTAAATTATTTAAATTAAAATTGTGAAAAAGTCCTTAAAAATTAAAATGTACTTGTAATGTGAATTAGTATAATGCAAATTCAAAATAATAAATTGATAAATAGTAATATAATGCATTAAAATAATTTATTAACGGTTATATAATTATATAACGGTTCTATGTATCTCTTATTGTATTGTACGTATCTCTTGTTTAATGATTGTTCAAATAACATTACGAGTGCCGAGGTGAAAAAATGTTACGTACTATTTTCATGGAAAATTTCGTAAATAAAAACGACCAATCATTATGAATGTGTAAATGTCCAAAACTCATTTTCCATATATTCGCTTTGGTATTTTACAATTCATTGGATGAGGGAGGTTTATGCGTGCGTATTTCCGAAAGATCATGAGAAATAAAAAAAAAAAGGGGGCGTCCAGGTCATAATCACTCTATAAGCACATGGTAACATGAGTGGCGACTCTTTAACAGGAAAAAAAGAAGAAAAAAATGAAAGAAAAAAGGAGACGGCGAGATGCAGAGAGTGGGGATCTCCCCGGGAATTTATTACTCTTTGAAAATCCTTATCGTCTGTTGTTCTGGGAAGCGACGCTTTTCGTCGGTTTCAAATGTTGAACGGTCGTTTGTCTTGCGTCACCGTCCGTCCTTGTTTTCCTTTATCTGGACGAGTCTTTATCTCCCTTTAATTGCCGTGCGCTCGCGCAGAGATACGCCGATCGTCATACGGCATCCTCGAGTACAGCGCTTCGAAAGACCCGGAGAGACAGTTCACGTGAGAGAGTAAGAGAGTGAAAGAGTGAATTAGAGAGCGAGAGAGAGTGAGAGAGAGAGAGAGAGAGAGAGAGAGAGAGAGAGAG